GACCTGCCATTCATGCCATTCATGCCGACGACATGAGTCTATGTCTGGGGAACCCTGAAAGTTCCACCCAAAACTGCTAGAACCGATCGATGAATTCAGCAAAGTTCCACGAAACGAAACCAATATATGAAAATCTGTTGCATTTCTATACACTAATAATGAACTGTTAGAAAGATAAATTAAGTAAACAATCCCATTTACAATGGCGACGAAAAGAAAAAATCTAGGAATAAATTTACCCAAGGTGAAAGATCTGTGTACTGAAAACTATAAGACATTGATGAGAAAGACACAAATAAATAGAAAGGGATCTCATGCTCGTGGACTGGAACGGTTAGTATTGTTAAAATGTCTATGTTCCAAGGCAATCTACAGATTCAGGGCAATCCCTATCAAAATTCCAATGGCACTTTTCACAGAAATAGATCAAACAATCCTGAAATGTATATGGAACCACAGAAGACCCTGACTAGCCAATCTCGAGGAAGAACAAAGTTGGAGGCATCGCGCTGCCCGGTATCAAACCATACAAGGCTAAAGCAACCGGAACAGCATGGCGCCCCCAAAAAAACAGACACGCAGGCCAAGGGAACAGAACCGAGAGCCCAGAAATAAACCCACACACATCGGCCCATTAATCTCTGACAAAGGAGGCAGGAATATACAGTGGGGTGAAGACAGTCTCTTTAGTAAGTGGTGCTGGGAAAACGAGACACCTACACGCAGAGGATGAAGCTGCACCACTCCCGAACGGCATCCGTGGAAATCGACTCGGAATGGGCCAAAAGACTCAAACGTGAGGCCTGACCCCACAGAACTCCGAGAGAAAACACAGGCCGTAAGCTCCGTGGCATCGGTCTTGGTGATGATTTTTCGGATCTGACACCAAAAGCAAAGGCAACAAAAGCAAAAATGAATCATGAGACCACATCAAACCAAAAAGCTTCTGCACAGCGAAGGAAACCATCAGCAAACGAGAAGGCAGCCCGCTGGATGGGGGGAAGTTCCTGCGAATCAGACCCGACGAGGCGCTCATGTCCAAAATACACGAAGAACTGATGCGCCTCGACGACGACAAAACGATCCAGTTTAAAGATGGGCAGAGGATCTGAACTGAGGTTTTTCAGAGACGTACGACGGCCAACAGACACACGGAAAGATGCTCGACATGGCTAATCATCAGAGAAACGCGAATCGAAACCACGATGAGATGTCGCCTCGCACCTGTCAGAATGGCGTCAGAAAAAAGACGAAAAATAACAAATTTTGGTGAGGATGTGGAAACTTAAGTTGGCGCTGCCAGAATGGAAAACAGTTCCTCCAAAAACTGACAACAGACCGCCACACGGCCCGGCAGCCCCTCCTCCGGTGTGTGTCCGAAAGAAACGAGGGCGCTCCCTCGAGAAGACACACACGCCCCTGCGTGCGCAGCCGTGCCGGTGACCGGCACCGAGACACAGAAACAACGTGAGCGTCCGTGGGACGAGGTGGTGCACGTGGACAACGGGCCACCACGCGGCCACGACCACGGGCGACAACGTGGACAGACCCGGAGGGCGTTATGCTGAGTGAAATAAGTCAGACGGGAGAAGACAAATGGCATGTGATGTCACTTACACGTGGAATCAGAAAAAACAAACGGCCCACGGAAAACACGCTGCTGGACGCCACGGGCGGGGCGGGGCACGTGCGGGGGCCGAATGGTGCGAACTCCCAGGTACGAGAGAAACACGTCCTAGGGTGCGGCGGGCAGCGTGGGGACGACGGTGGGTCTCAAACTCCCCGCCAGACACAACCCCGTCGCCAGCTCCAGCGGGAAAGGCCGCCAGTGCCCACGCAGGAACCGCGCACCTGCTCCCGCCTGCCCAGGACAAAGCAGGAGCGAGTCCCCCTCTGCCCCTTTCTCTCAGTCCCAGCCGGCAGGTCCCGTTAGCTCCTCCTCCAGAATCCGTCCAGAATCTCGTGACTAGCTGCCTTGCTCCCGCCTGGCCACCTGCCCGGTCCACACCGCCTCCCGCGCTAAGCCGAGCCACAGTAACGCCTCGTGCTGGCCTCCCTGCCTCTGCCCCCGCGCCCCGCCCCATAACCTGTGACCAGGATGGCCCGCTGAAACGGGATCGGACCTGCTCACGGCCGTGCGATGGCTCCTGCCAGTCTGCTGCCTCCCCGAGGTCACGTCCCACAGTCCACGACACGCACAGGGCTCCACCACGGGCCTGCTCACTGCCCCGGACAGGCCTACACACCGGGCCTCGGCGTGCGCCGTTCCGTCTGCCCAGACGCCCTTGCCATGCCTGTCGCTCCGTCCGCCTTCACTCCAACATGACCTCCTCTGTGGGCCCTCCCTGGCCGGCGGCCCTGGCCACCAGCCCTGTCTCCTCTTCGCTCTGCCCTTCTGGGTTATCATCTCCCCCGATGCCGGACAGCACTTGGCCTGCAAGGGCCGCTGCCCAGCCCCAGGCCGCTGCTTGCTTGGTACTGGGCACCTGTTGGACGCTCCCTGAACACCTGTTTAAGTAGCAAGTCATCCCGGACACGTCAGAGCCGTGCCATGTGACCACATGGACATGTCCCATTTGTGAACAGGTTGTTCCTAGGTTACTTTTCTATAAGTGAAAACTTGATTTTAAAAACAGACGAGAACGAAGTGACATTAAACCCGTTTCCTCGGGGGAGAAGCTGAAGCCTGAAACGACGGCCTGGCCCGGAGCTGGGGAAAGGTGCGCACGGGAGCCGTGAAGTCGCAGCACAGACGGGGCCCTGGAGGGGGCCATAGCCCCCGCCCTCCGCGCCAGGAGACGGCGTCCATGCACCCCTGCGCCACGGGGACGGACGCTGAGAGTCACTGCTCCCCAGGCGGCTCGGAGGAAAGTGCTCCTGCTGGCTGAGCCCAGAACCCACACAGGTGACACAGCCGAGTGGGACCCGAACCAGGGCCCCAGCAGGCGCCTCCCACCGCCCTGTCGAGTCAGCACTGGAGTCACTGCAGGAACCACCTTCGTCACTTCTGCAGCAGGCGGGCTGGCCAGCCCCAGAGCTCGAGGGACGCAGCACGCAGCCTCCCCACACGGAGCCACCGCCCGCGGGAGCCTGGCCTCGACGCCCCAGCTGCCTGAGCCGACCAGCCGGCCAGGCCCAGACCTGCCCGCACCGCAAGTGAAAAGACACGCCAAACACACTGAATTCTTTCCGCTGGAGCTCGGCGCTTAGGGGCGAAGCTGCTGGCCTGGGAACGCGGCCATCGTCCACTCCGGGATCCCTGGGTTGGGTGCCACTGGCCCCCAAAGGGATCCTGACCTGGCTGTTCCGCACAGCCCAAGCCTTCAGGCCGCTCTGCCCCCAGGCTGAAGTAGGACAGAGCCTGGCCCCAGCAGCGACGTCCAAGGGGCTGGTCGTGCTGGAACCTGCCTATGTCCCTCCAAAGACCCAGCCCTCGCACCCCGGCTTGGAACCGTCGCTCAGATCGGCAGGGGTGCTGCGTCAGCCTAAATGCTCCCATTCCAGTTCGCTTTTCTCGTGGTCCTTAAAATCAGAAGCCAGGCTGAAGTCGCCACTCTATTTCCCCAGCAGAGAAATAAGGTGAATAATAGACTAAAACGGAAAGTGCTCACGGCGCCCTGCGTGCACGTCAGCCCGTAACTGCCCACGCCGACGCCGACGCCGACGCGCACACAGAGGCACACGCCCGGGTGCGTGTCTGACTTCGGCATTCGAATGCCCTCATCGCGATGACGACGACGTCCAAGCGTGAGGGTCTGGTTCCCCACGGACAGCGTGCCTCAGCGCCGCCTGCGCCTGCGCCCTGCGGGGCCCTGACCCTCTCCCGCAGCCGTCCGTGTACGCAGGCGCTGCTTTTGCTTTCTTCACGAATTCCCCACTTCGAGAGCCCCAAGTGACTCCCTGAGCCCAGATTTCGGAGCCTAGAATTTGTCACCGGGTAAACCAGCCCCCTTGCGGGAAGCTGGCTTAGCACAAGGCACCACGAGCTTGGGGACAATTTAAAGTGCAGCCTCCCCACTTCTCCCCGTGACGACGGCCATCACATGGTGTCGCAGCTTTGATACTACATTTTACTTCCAGTAGAATTAGTGAACGACTCTAGTAAATATCTTCTAGTATCACAAAGTGGTGGATGGAAGACAAAAGCTTAAAAAAATCGAATACCTTTTAAAAGTCTTTTTAAACGTCGCTTAATAACAATGTAAAACATCAGCGACCCACGAGCAGCCTTTCTGCTGGCCGGTAGGCATTACGTCAATGACGGAAGGGAGAACAGGAATGCTGGTGACTGGTCGTTTTCATCAAAATTTTGAAAACTCACATACAAAAGCAGATCGAGAAGTGAAAACAAATGTCTAAGCGCGGTGACTTCGGAAAGGCTGAACCGGGGCTGGGAAGGACAGGCGATGAGGGGTGTGACGGTGGGGCCCGGGGTGGGGGAGGGGTCCTTTGCCAGCTCTGCACCTGTGCCTTACCTGTTCTCAGGCAGGGCCCACTCACGGCCGTCACCTGTCACACGGGATGCACAGCCACCCGCTAGAGCTGGCCCTTCCCCACGCCCCTGCAGAATGCACGCTGGCCTTGTCAGGTTTCCCTAGACCCAGAATTCCCCCCTCGTCTCCCCAAAATCACGCTTCCAGAAGGCTGAACCGAGCTGCACTCCCGCCTCACGAGTGTCTTACACCTACGACCCCGTCCTGCTCCACTCCGCTCACCTTTCAACCTGTGCAAACCACAAACGGCGCGCGAATTAGACATTCGCCAGCCCTGGAGATCTCGATCAGAATTTTCCATTGCCTTGTGCAATGAGGGGGGGGTCCTAACGCTTTACGGTGACGCTTTTGACAAAACAGCCGCTCGCAGAGTAGAGCAGCCGAAGTCGGGGCATGTTCATCTCGCTCTAACTCACACAGCACATTTTAGTTCAAAAAGCATTTCAAACCGTTGCCTTCCAGCAATTTCCTGGGCAAACTCAAGTTCTGTGGTCGGCCCTGACTCACCTGGGGTCAGGGGACAGTTCCAGAACACAGCCCAGGGCTCCTGGCCAAGCCGCCAGCCGCCAGAGGCTTCTGACCAGAATTCCCAGAGTTTACTTCGCCACGAAAACGCTGTGGAGAAAATATACACACGAAAATATCAATGATGATGAAATTGGTAAAACTAGAAAGTCAACTTAAGAGCTCAGCTTTGAAAAGGAGAAAAGCTATTTTGAGTAACTTTGAATTTTACCTCTTCCCTAATTGTCTATAACTCCCTTGGAAACATCAATCAATTATGACATAGCACCTGAGAACAATGACTTCTTACTGGCAAGGAATCAGGGACATCCGTGTCTGTGAATCCTGCAACCTAACTGCAGATGCTGGCCATTAAGTCACATCCTGGGGCCAATAACTGCTGTTTGAGCTCAAGGGACAAATATTTTTAAACTACACAAACAGTAAGTTATTTCCTGTAAGAGATGTTCAAAATGTATTTTTAAGCAATAAAAGGACAGTGAAAATGTTATGTCTTGCAGTGTTCCACCTGGAAGGAAGTTAACTCCTGCACAAAATCCAAACTACTGGCGGCGACTTGACTCAGCAGCTCAGCCAGAGAAAACAATAAAAGCCCGTTGCACTCTGAGTGAAGAGAATTCTTATCTGTAGCAAAAGTTAGTAACTGAAGTGGTTACTGCCCTGCACCAAATATGTCTTCTGCTTCCCAGGACATTCACACCCCATTAAAAGCAAAGACATTTACTCAGAACTCTGAGCTCAACACTCAGGGTCCCACAGAGGAAGAAGTGTCTCCAGAGGGGTTGAAGCTGGGCCCCTGCTGACCAGCGGCCGCACCGCACCCCTACTTCAGCTTCCGCAGCAGGTAGACCCCGCAGAGGAAAACGCACCCAGGTTTTTAGCCGTAGCTGTCTTCCTCCTATAGCCAGCCAAGACTTCTGCCTCTATAGGAAACTCTGAACCCCTGCGCCCCACACAAACAACTCGACTGCTCCTCGTGGGGCTACGGCGGGTCGGTTTTACCCCAGCCAGCCGCCCCCTACCCGGGGTCCCTCCTGCACATTCCTACCTGTCCTCGCAGTTTCGGCCCCATCACCCTTATCCCCAGGGGACAAGGGCACCCCGCTGAAGATGGGGGCTGCTCCCAGGGCCTGACCGAATACCTGCCCTGTCTGTGCCAGGGGGAACGGGGGCACGCGCCAAAGTTGGGGGGCTGCTCGCGCCCCCGTCACCTGCACTGCCTGTGCTCGGAGGCCGGGGACAGCTCGCTGAAGTGAGAAGCTGCCCGTGGACCCTATTACCTGCAACGTCTGTGCCTGGGGAAAGGGGGCACCCTGCTTAAGTTGGGGTGCTGCCCGGGACCCGCGCTCACCCGGCCTGGACCCTCACTC